CCATTAGATGTGATTCTACTATTAGACATTGTTTTGTAAATAATTTGAACTTTACACCGGAAACCAATTTAAGGTTATCTGTTGGGCTCGCTGTGGGCTGTCTAGGTGTGTGCTATAAGCTATGCATATTAACACAGGAACCTCTTTTACGTATGTGTATTCCTGGTCCATGGGCACGGGTCCCCAGTTGGTTATGATCCTGGTGAGGAGGGATGAACTTGGTCTCCTCCTTTATTGAACTCCTCCTTAGATTAGTCACAACAACTTAATTTATGAAGGATCACTTTTCTTGTAGATTGCTTTTACCAGCCAAAATATATTTATCTTTTAAAAATAGATAATTTAAACAGGCTTTCTTGAATCATTAGCTATTAAATTGAGAGAAAAGATAATAAAATGTGACATACATACACACAGATCAGAAATGAGAGGTGAGTGAAAATGAAAAAGATTTATGAATCAGTCTTTGGATGACCAATGACAAATAGATTTTGAAACAAAACAACTACTGAAGTGGGTGTTTTGGATAACACTGACTTTGGCAGTTAAGTGGTTGTTTGTAAATTCTTGGCTGTGCAGTTCACAGAGAGAAATTTGTCCTGTTTCCTTCTCAAGTGGCTTTACTTGTTTTTCAGCAACCAGAGAGATTTTATTTCTCTTTAGGTACAAAGGTATCTGGTGGAATTTCTAAGTTGCGTATCTTCACAGCACACTTTAGCACAATAGAACTTGAAACTCAAGCCAACCTACAGGTATACTAATACCACAGCTCTCTAGCACACAATATACAGAGACTAAGCCTTGCTGTTGGTTGTTACCCCCTTATCTTGTGACTTCCTTTAAGGGTAAGACACAAATATGTTTTTTTTTCCAGAACAGCCTTTCTATTAACTTGTCACATCAACAGTCTAGGAGACAAACCAGAGGAAATCACAGCTCAGTTTTTCAATGGCATATCATCCTTCAGAATATTACTATCTGAAATTCCCATGGCACTCTTCAGGTGTGACATTTCATGATTCTTGTTAGGATTCTTTGCGAGGATTTCAGAAGAACACTGTATTTACACTGTTGGTTAGCATGTGATTTATATATCATTGCTTTAAAATGCACATGTTTCACTGAGAAGTTCTAAATATCTGTTACTAATTTTGGGTTACAATTTGTTTTCATGACAGAAGGCAAAAGGAATTCACACTGAGATTGCACTTTTTCATTGGAAAATAAAATGGGGTCACAAAGATGTCCAGTCTCTGCTACACTACCACTCTGACTGAATCAGTGTCTACCTTCCTGGTCTGAGAACTAAGATTGACAATAAATTGTTCCTGCTACACCTCATTCCAATGATGGCCAAACCAATCAGCAAACTCTACTCACACTGTATAAATTGGCATCCATTTATTCAAGTCTGTTTCTTGCATCCAAACTCTAATGAAAATCCATTCAACAACGTAGCTATAAATGCATCATAGTGGGCTCAGTTGAAACAAGTGCACTTTCCTTGAGATGCTAGCAGTGGTTGGGCAATTGAAATAGTGATATTTAAAAATTGACTCATCTATGATAATTCCATAGCCTTGTGATATTAAATATTTGCAGAATTGGAAGCAACATCCAAATGTTCATTGTATGAAGCAGTTTATGGTAGAAATGGGTTCAGCAATTTTTTTTCAAATGCTCACAGCAAGATCCAAGGAATTATTTTCAGAAAGGAAATATTTGAGAACAAAGTACTTTGCATTTCTTCCATCTCTCAGTGCAGAGGGTCCTGAAACTCTGTGGGCCTTTGATCCTGATATAAACGATAAGATCCATCTTCTGGGAACTTCTGGCTGTGACTGTGCCAACTTATGCATGATCAGGGGATCTTCTTTCATTAACATGAACTTGGCAAGCATGTGCACTACTACAGGCAACTCTCGGGTGCCTGCCATTACATAGGAGCTGGAAATCTGTGAAACTGCCCTGGAGGTAGCCAGTGGCACTGGGATAAAAGGATAAAAAATTACAGCACGTAAGATTTCTTTATAAAGGAACCGTAGAACACAAAATAAAAGGTTCAAAATCTCCAGGCAATCTGACAATGTTTCCCCAGTGGTCTTCATTCTGTATGGCTGGAAGATAATGGATTTTTATTTATGAATTTGGCTTTTTGTGCGACATGAAGGAAAGTAAAGAAGTGATTGTGATTGCTGTTCAACAGGGATTAATTGGTGTGGACCGTGATCAATATTTTCATCTTTCCCCAAACAGTACAACCAACAGGCAAGCCCTACACCTCGGGGTGGGGAAGAATAGAAAGGGGGTGATAATGGATAGGGGTGAATTTGAAATCATTTTCCTAAAGTAGTGACTTTGGTTTTACCCTCTACTGTTACCCTGTGTGCAGAAAATGGAGAGATGATTGATTAAAATCATAAAAATGAGAGTTCTGTCATCAAGCCGTTATACTCCTGACCAATGGAACACAGATGATGGTGATTCAGACCTCAGATGAGGCTCCCACTTAAAGCAGACATGAGCCATACCTAAGATTTAAAATCATGGCCAAATTATGTCATTGACATCACCAAGATATTTTTATGATCAATGCAGACATATTTTGTGCTGTCAGAAACATAAATAGAAAATGCTGGAAAAGCTCAGCAGGTCTGGCAGCATCTGTGGAGAGAAATCAAGAGTTAGCATTTTGAGTTGAGTGACTCTTCCTCAGAACTGTTCTGAGAAAGGGTCACTTGACCTGAAATGTTAACTCTGATTTCTCTCCAGAGATGCTGCTGGACCTGCTGAGCTTTTGCACCAATTTCTGTTTTTATATCTGATTTACAGCACCTGCAGTTCTTTCAGTTTTTATGTTTTGTACTGTCTTCAGATAGACAGTAGAAAATTGGTTAGATAATTGACTGGCCAGAGGAGGGATAGGTAGGTTGTGAAACTTTGCTGGTCACTGAACTTTTTATAGGGCAGGAGGAGTAGGAGCCCTCCTTCCAGGTTCTTCAGAATTCTCAGATCCCTTTTGATAGAATCCCAAGCACTCTTTCATCTCTCTTAAAGAGGAAACTATGATCTGCTTCTTCTGCAGAAAGTGTAGGGAATTCTCCCTAACCATTGCTTCCGGGAGAGTACTTCGATGGATCTCTGGTTGCAATCTCCTTCCACTAACTTCCCACTCTTGTCTATCAACTAAGTGGTCAATCTAACCAAGTGTCCAGTAGGATTCAGTATTTATTCAAATATGCCATAGCCATTAGTATCAGTAGGGCCTTTACATTTTTACATTTAGGTTTTGTCACCTGGTCTCCTCCCCACTCTTTCTGCACTGTGTGAAAATCAATGCTATTGTTTCACTAAAGTATGTTGTGAATTGAGCAAGTAATTTCCCTTTGGAGACTGGGAAAGTGGGAAGCATTGTTCATTTAAAATGCAAATTTCATGGATTTCTGTCACATAATATTTTGGATGACTGTGTGTGAGTAACTTGAAAGATGAACTGTGGTAAGTTTTGGATGTTTCAGGAGATTTTGAGATTTTTCAAAAATTTCTATCACTAATGTGCTTTTTTGACCTCCTGTCCAAGTCTGATGTAGACTGACGTAAATTAATTGATGGGGATTGAGTAGGCATCAATTCCATTATTACCATTGTATAGAAGTAGCCCAATGATAGCAAATAAAATGAATCCTATTCTTTTGTTTAACAATTCCAATAGCTTCATGAATTCCTGCTAGAAAAGGAGATTCAGAGCTATTTGGTTCAAAATCTGAGAAAGGTAACTAACAGTTATTTGAAAAGGCCATCTCGTTGGATCAATTGTCTTCTCCTGCCAAAAGCATCATTATATTATTGTGACCTTAATAAGCACTTTCAACATTCATTCATCTTAAGCGCATGTAAACCTGTGGAGAAATATGGAAGGTTTAAGATTAAATTCCTAGACAGTTTTCTAATATTTTTGAATTTGCGTGTATTGTGTTTTCTCAAAGGGTAGGATTCTTCGTTTTATTGATGACTATTCTCTGCCAATTTTAGAAATTAATTATTTCTCGGTACATTTCAAAACATTTTCTCCGAGTAGTAGTAAATGATCTATTACTGGGAAAAATGTGTAAATTATTATTCTCTTAAAGACAAATTGCCATTGCCAATGATGGAAATCACAGCTATTTATTTTGTATGATACAGGATTCCTAGTTCTTGCTTGAGAAACTCTTTTAAGAAATCCCACTTCCTAGACGCTATCTTTGCTGCAAACGGATAACCTTTTGCATTTATCACTTCCTCTTTTAACTGTACCTTCATGCCCCGGCGCTCTCACCGTTTTTTTTGTTTCCAGCTGGCCACTCACTGATTTTATGTGTCATACAATGTACTTAACTCTTTGATGTTATATGCCTTAATGACCTTTATCAGCAGCAGTTCAGTCACTCTTCCGCAGTCTGTATCACCCTCAGGTTACAAACACGCACCAGCCCATTCCAACGCGACCAAACTTCCAAAACTCAAGTACTGCCATTCCCTGTGATCCTGTTCCCCAATTACAAATGTTCAGTTCCAGCACTGCCATCCCATTCCTCTCATGTTGGGACACCCAACTCTGCTCTCCAGGACCAAACAACCTTCGTTCCCAATTTCCGTAAGTCACCAAAACCTGAGAAATTAAATATCAGTGATAATCAAAAATCTTTTTTCCTTTCAGCACGGAATTAGGCTCAAATAAACACTGGAAAACGGAAAATGGGCCAGTAATACATGCATGATTTAAAAATAAATGCATGCGAGTCTTGTCTTTACTATCAAGAGTCAAAACATCTTCAGCACATGTCAAGCCTACTTATTCCCAAAGTTCGCGGCAGACACGGGGCTTTATTCTCCGGTTATTGGCAACCCTCCTACCGGGCGCCAGGGGGAGCTTGCGCTCCCTGTGTGCTGCGGGAGTGAGCGAGAGGATCATCGTAGGCAGCAGCTCTTATCGTGTCGCTCAACTTAGTGCAGACAGAGAGCGAGTAAAGTTTGCAGCCTAACCGTGTGAAAGACCTTATAATGAATTAAGACGATCACAAAACTGCAACAAAATGAAAGTTCCTCGTTTGCTCGTGTTTGCAGTCAGTGTGCTGCTATGTTGGCATTGCAGTAGTGGTCAGCAGAGAGGTAAGTGAAAGTTGACAGTTATAATTAGTGAACAGTTACTGCTGAATACATGGACAACTACGCTATCAAACTTTTCCCATTACGTTGTGGTGTAATTATTTTTTAAATCTAGCTTTGTGGAGAACAGCTACTTAAATATGCAACTTTGCAAACAGTTTTAAAAAGTCCACCATAACAATGCAGTAGGGCACGTCCAATGAAGTTGTATTCAAGTTGGAATCGACCTGTAGGCTAATTTCCAGACTTGAACAAAATTTAGAAATTGAGTTTTAACGTGATGCATGTGTTAATCATTGCCGGGATATTGAAGATAAGAAATAACTAAGCAAATTGCAGCGTGCTTTCATTAATCTGTTCTGGCTCTGATTTATTTTCTATGAGAATTGTGGATTTTGATTCTGTGCTCATCAATTTATTTGATTATTCTGATATTTCCTTGTAAAAGTTTGCTGCTTGCTATTATCCCACTTTTGATGTCAGGAGAGAAATACGAACGTTACAACGCTTGATTGACAGATCGAACTACTTGATTGCAGGAACCTCTGGTGTTCAAAACAATGGTGAAATCTGTCAATGAGCAAACCACGGAGATTTCCTGCAACACATTATAATGCTCTGAACCATTGAAAATGCATTTTTTTAATGGGACGGAATTTATAAACTGCTGCAAATTAATCAAGATTATCTTGGAACTGAGTTACATGCAAACTATCAGAACAAAAACGTTGATTAAAAATATTAAGAATTTCAAAGCAATCTTAAAGTTTATGGCAAAACCAGTTAAGAAAGCCACAGTTCACTGGTATACTGGAGCATGAAAGCTATTTCACAAACTTAAATGTTTTATCTTTGCTGCTGGGTGAAACTTAGGAGAGATTAAATTGAGCGAAGTTAATAGAAGAAACGCTATATTTGAAGGTTATAGTGTTTGGCACATCTTCCTCAGGGAAGTTGATTTCAGTGGTGCGAATGACCCAGAGAAGTGAGTTCAAATCCTACTGTGGCAATTTGATAGTTAAATTTTAAAGAATCGTTGTGATGGTAAATATGCTCATAAAGCTGTTTGTTAGCAAAACCAATGAATTTACCAATGCCCTAAGGACTGGTGTCTACAATCCTTAGTAGTTCAGCCTTACTCCAGTTCCAGACAACCTTCCTGATTCTGAACAGTCCTTTGAAGTGCATCAAACCACTACAAAGAATCCATATGGCATGCAATGGTTGTCGAAGTTTTGTTTTATTTTTGCATGGAATGTGGGAATCACTGGCATTTGTTGCTGATTCCTTGTACGCCACTGTTTCACTGGGACATTAGTTAAGAATCAGTCACAGTGTGGGTCTGGAGTCACATGTAGACCAAACCAGCTAAGAGCAGCAGATTTTCTTCACTAAAGGATGTCAGTTAACCAGATAGATTTTTAAATGACAAAAAAATTACATGGTGACTATCAGATTATATTTTAATTTCTGATTTTGTTTAATGTAAATTTCACCATATCCCAGATTTGAACCAGAGTTTTAGATGACTAGTCCAGCAACATTACTACTATGCCGCCACTTTCCCATGATAACTTGTGTCAACTTCTTGGTTGCAAAAAGTGATTGGTTACTTAGACTGTTCTTATCAGTGACATCAACCTGAGAATTAGGAATTTTGAATACGAACATCACATTTTCTTAGCAGAAATTACAAATTGTTATAGAATATATATTTGTTTTGCATCAAATATTTCTAACCACTTATTTAAAATATACAAAGCGTTCTGAGGAAGTGTCACTCGACCTGAAACATTTACACTGATTTCTGTCCACAGATGCTGCCAGACTGGCTGAGCTTTTCCAGCAATTTCAATTTTTGTTTCTGATTTAAAGTATCTTCAGTTTCTTCGGGTTTTATTTGAACATAAGATGGGCTAAAATGAAACATCAAAACAAATATATTTCATAATCTCATTGGAAGAATATGTCAAAATGTCTTGACTATCATAAATGAACATTATTACATAAATAAACATATAACTCTTTTTTCGGTTTGTCAGGCACATATTTGTCCAACTAATACCTTAATTATAGTGAATCAGAGTTGAAAGAAACTGATTGTCTTTTTATTAATACTCTTGACATTTTTACAGCTTGTTGAGGACATTTTTATAAAATGTGACTCATCTTGTGAAGGAAATAACTTTAGATGTATGCACAAACACAGAACATTTAAAATTTCTTGTGTGTATATACAGATGCAGTGATTTATAGTTGTATAAGTTAAATGAGTAACTTCCAGAATTTTGTCCAGTAAGCAAATACTTCAATCCTCTGTGAGACACTGCGTCTGCATGTACATCTCTCAACAAGAATCCAAAAACAGTATTTGAGCTTTAAGAAACAGTGAGCGATTGCGCGAATCTGTGAAAATATACATGCCTGTTGTGTGGAAGTAAAAGTAAGTTATATTAAATTTTCACCAAGAGATTACTCATTTGTAGTAAATCAAAAGTGCATCAACAAACAATCATCTGAAAAACTTGTCAGGGAAGTCAATGATCTGGCTTTTAAGCATACTGAAGCCAACATTAGAAAAACAAGTTTACAGTTGGTGAAGCCGAATTGAAGTAACATTAAGTTTTGCAAGATAACTAAAGATGAGGAAGATCGTTAGGCCTACTTTAATTCGTCCATTCAAAGAGTGCTTAACATTCACTATTGTTACATTTTGTTGTTCAGAGTTTTTGTATTCACTGTTTCAAAGCTCAAAGTCTGTTCCACCCTTCGAGGGTGAGAACAGCCAAGGCACTGACAACTGAATGCCAAGCTGCTGCTGCACAAATGTTCAACTTTGTTATAAGTCATGCCTTGCCATTTACAAACATACAAACAAGCAACACGAGTAGGCCACTCAACTCTGTTTCATTCAGTAAGCTCATGGCTGATCTGATTTTAGCCTCAACTTGACATTCCTGCACATCCCTGATAATTTTACATCCCCTTGGTCATCAAGAATCTACCTACTTCGGCCTTAAAAATAGTTAAAGATTCTGCATCAATGGCCTTTTGAGGAAAGGAATTCCAAAGATTTTCTATCCTTGGAGAGAAAAGAATGTTTTCTCAGAGGAACAGGAAAGTTGACGTTTCGGGTCAGGATCCTTCTTAAGAATCTTCATTTTCTGAAGAAGGGTCCTGAGCTGAAATGTCACCTTTCCTGTTCCTCTGATGCTGCCTGGCCTGCTGTGTTCCTCCAGCTCCACACTGTGTTGATTCCGACTCCAGCATCTGCAGTTCTTGCTATCTCCAAATGTTTCCTCAGCTCTGTTTTAAATGGGTGACCCCTTATTTTTAAACTTAGGCCCTTAGCTCTGGATTCTCCCACAAGAGGAAACGTGTTTTCAACACCCGCCTGGTCGTGTCCCCTCTGGATCTTAATATTTTTCAATTAAGTCACCGCTGATTCTTCTAAATTCCAGAGGACACAGGCCTAAACTGCCTAGCCTTTCCTCATAAGTCAATTTGCTCATTCCAAGTATTAGGCTGTAAATTTCCTCTGAACTACTTTCCACGCATTAACATCCTAATATAGAACATAGAACCCTACATTTACCTGATGAAGGAGCAGTGCTCCGAAAGCTTGTGATTTTTAATTAACCTGTTGGACATAACCTGGTGCTGTGTGACTTCTGACATAGAACAATATAACAGAGGAACAGGTCCTTCGTCTCACTATGTCTGTGCCGACCATGATGTCATTCTAAACTAATCCCATCTGCCTGCACACGGTCCATGTCCCTTTATTTTGTGCCTGTTCATTTGTCTGTCTAAACGTCTCTTAAATGTTGTTGTCCTATCTACATCTACCCTCTCCCATGGAAGTGCTTTTCAGGCACCTACCACCCCCTATGTTAAAACCTTTCCTTGCACATCTCCTTCAAACTTTTCCCCTCTCACTTTAAATCTATATCCCCTTGTATTTGACATTTCTACGCTGGGAGAAAAGCTTTAACTATCCAGCCTATCCATGACTCTCAAAATTTTATATACTTCTATCAAGTCACCCCTCAGCCTCCGACGTTCTAGTGAAAATGATTGAAGTTTGTTCAACCTCTCTTTATAGCTAATACACTCCAATCCAGGCAACATTCTGGTAAAGCTCTTTGCACACTGTCTAAAGTCTCCACATTCTTCCTGTAGTGCGGGGACCAGAAGTGCACACAATATTCCAAATGTGGCCTATCTGAAGTCTTACACAGCTGCAACATGACTTGCCAACTTTTATACTCAATGTCCTGATCAATCTAGGCAAGCATGTTGTATACCTTTTTAACCACCACATTCACTTGTGTTGCCGCTTTGGAAAATTCCAAGATTCCTCCATATATCACTGCTCCTAACGGTCTTGCCATTAACTGTGTACATTCCTCCTGCATTTGACTTCTCATACTTGTCTGGTAACGAATATTGTCACAGTACTCTAGATGTGGTCTCACCAATGTCATGTATAACTGAATCTCCCTTGTCTTGCATTCAGTTCGCCTCACAATAAAACAAAACATTCTATTAGCTTTCTTGATTATTTGCGGTACCTGCATTCTAACCTGAACTAATTTCAACATTCAAGTCTTATAGCTTTGATATGAGGCACTCAGTCTGCTAAAGTTTCAGATTTAATAATCAGAAAATAATTGATTCCCCATGAGTTTGATTACCTTTCTTAGTTTTTCTTTTTTGGGAATTTCACAAGGGCTTGTGTGTAGTATTTGCCGGCTTAATTAAAGGTGGAACTCCTGGAGCAGCCAGTAACATGTCTCTCAGAGGGAGTGGGCAGAAGATATGCCTGCTGATTGAGACTTGTAAGGGAGATTGAGACTTATCAATGGGCAGGAATCTAAAGGGTGCAGGTTGAAACCAAATTGCAGACCTCCATGAAGTGAGGCACACACTTTCATCCCTCCCACTCCATAAGGTTTTAGGAAAATAACTGAATGGACCATTGCATGAATAAACTGTTTGAG